TTTGGTCCAAATCTGAGTTTAGGTAACTCCCTAGACTTAGCTTTGTGATTCTGGTTGGACTGAGAATATAAAACACGTTGAAATCGAGCTAATCCGACGGCGGCAGACCGTTAACTTTTAATGGCGACTGTGGAGGATACGTTAACTTTAACGGCATCTACAAACGAGAAAGGTGTATTCCGTTAAACCTTTAGACATTTTTCGACGACCTACGTGGCACCAGCGACGGCGAATGGGACGTTTACTTGCCTAACTGCAACGGCGAGTAGAAACACAACAACAAGAAAAATGGAGAAATGCCGAACGAGAAGAGCCAGTTATGTTATCTCATTGTGAATAGTTTCGGAATGAGTTAACTCAATGAACACAGAAAGTAAAAACAGATATGTACAAGGGAAAAGGGAAGTGATTAGAGGTTCTCCACTTCACTCATCACCCATAGCCTTTAACACACACAAGCACAAGGTCAGACGGAGTAGCATCACTTACAATTTTACAAATTTGAGTTAACATACTACCATAAATAGAGAAACATACTTATATAAAAAAATACTTTTTGTGCTGGGATTTAGTAGAAGATGAGTAATAGGTGGGCTATTGGCTAACGGTGGGAAGGATGGTGAGATTTTCTTGTTTGAATTGGTTTGACGAAGGTTTTCAAAAAATTTATCTGGTTTTTTTTATGAAAATGGACAGAAAATATATCTGGGTTTAGTGTGGTGGTGGTGAGGCGGGTGGAGGTCATGGGGATGCTGGCGAAGGGCAATTTGCAGTTGTAGAGGAGATGGGTGAGGTTGGGGTGCCCGGAGACGGGCAAGAACGATGTCGTCGGGTAGAATGGGGAAGAAGGGTGATTTTATTTTAAATTGTAAGGGGTGGGTCCCACAATTTTTATAAAAATATTTAAATGATTTTATTTTTTATTTTTAATTAATTTTTTAATCCAGTTTGGTTAGGGAGTGGAACCCATTTCATGTCACGTTAGTTTTAAACATGAGGTATAAAATTGTGGTTCAATTCATAGTTAAGGTAATTTTGTGTAATTTATTCTAAAAATATAATTCAAATTTTTCAAGACGCGAAGAAATGCGTGAATCTCATTCAAGACACCCTAGAACCTAGTTTTCTTTCAACTGGATAGTGGAGGATGGGTTGAAACATTAAACCTAGTGTGAACTTGTCTCCATAAGATAATGGTGAAGAAAATAATCCAAGAGATCATTAGTCCCAGAAACATGCCTTCTGCTGGGGGTAGAGAGAGAGGGACCCGGCTTCTCTGCCCTTCTAGTTCCTATACACTATAATCCCTTCCTATTTTGTGCAGTCATGGTTAAGCTACGTCAACATTTTATATTGATTTTTTTATAGATATAATAAGACAAAAAGCAATAATGATATAAAATGTTGACGTGACTTAATCGTGACCGCACAAATAGGAGGGGATGAGAGTGTATGAAAACTGGAGGGCAGAGAGCCAGGTCCGAGAGAGAGATGGTGGGTGTGGTTATGGCAGCAGAGGGAAGGTAGGAAACCACAAATTCACAGCCAAGAGATTCACACACTCATGGATAAAACACTTGACGTGATTGCAACGCCATCCTTGGTCACGCTTTTGGCAAACGTCAACGAAAATCATTTAATGGCACTACAGCAATGCCATTCAATCAAACCAAGGAACAAATGCCGATAATATCGGCGATATATCACCAATATTATCGATTTTTCGCCCGACCAATATTTTAATAGGTATCCAAGGGTTTTCGTCAAAATATCGCGATATTATCGATATTATCGATATTATCGATAATATCACGATATTTCCGAAATTATCGCAATATTTTTTGGAACTGGCTACTTGGAGAAGAACGTCGGAAATGGGTGTGCCGATTCCCGAGCCGATTTCGTCCCAAAAACCTTGCAAAAACACGATTAAGATCAAGATCTAAGCTACAGAGCGATTGAAAACACAACCACAATTCATATGCATGAATCAATCAAAGAGGTAAGAAGGTGAGGGACCGGGAGTTGACCTGACCACCGACGGCGATGGCGACGACGGTGATGGCGACGACGGCGACGACGAATGCGCTACCTTCGCCATATAGTCCCCTAGAGCAGTACAAGCTCTTTGGATTTTGTTCACCAACGAGATCAGGTTCTCCATTCTTGGCTTAGGAAGTTGGTGGCGGCAGTTGGTGGCGGCAGCGATGACTACGGCGTCAGAATCAGATTGCCTGGATCTGAGGCGAGCTCGAAACTTTGACGTTCAAAGACCTAGATCTACGGTGGAGACGATGACGAGAGGCGAGGGGCGAGGTCTCTGTGCATGTGTGTGGGAGAAGGGAGAAGAGAGATCGAGAGATCTCTGTGTGTGTGTGTGTGGGAGAATGGAGAAGGGAAAGAAGAGAGAGAATGATCGAGAGAGAAAGAGAGACCTCAGTCTCTGTCGGAGAGAAGAGAGAAGGATCGAGAGAGAGAGAGACCTCGTCTCTGTTTGCGTGTGTGATGTGTGTATGCATGTGTGATTTGTGTGTGCGTGTGTGTTGGGGTGTGAGAGTCTGTGTGTGTTTGTGGGTGGCGTGTAAGAAAAAAAAGCATCTAAATAATTCAACTTTTACAACTTTTACATGTACAATTTTTTATAGTCTGTGACTGTGTGTTTAAACTTCTTTCATTAATTACTACATATTTTCTACACTCATAATGTTTGCCAGCTCGCTATATAATCAACTTAAATCAGTTAAATCCATCATGGAATGCATTTCCTTCCAATTTTTTTGTGATAAACTAATAGATAATTGACTAAATAAACATTCTGCAAAGTTTCAATAAAAATTTCCAAATTTTTCTTACAATTTCCTTGGTTTCCATATTTTTTTATCAATATCAATAATATCCCGATTTCCTTCGATATTTCCGTGTTTCTGGATTACCGATATTTCCGATATTACCGATATTTAATACCTTGATCACAACTATACGATGTTTAAAAAACATCGTGGGTCTCAATTTTCAGCCCAAATTTCTTCTCTTGGCGCCTCTTTAATTTCATTTCCATGATCATATAAAGATAGTATGATGTCCCTTTTTCAAGTGGCTGTACGACATTTACTATTTGTAAAATAAAAAACAAAGAAAGAATTTTGCTTGAGCTTATAGTGAACCTTCTTGTTGTACAATGTTCTGGATAGGTTCTTTTTTAAAATAAAATAATAATAATAATAAAAATTATTACTAAGCGGGAGTGAGAGAGTTCTAAACTATTTATAATAATCTAGCAGAGGGGGAATTTTGATCTCATAACGCATGAGTAGAAACTCAACACCCTATCCACTAGGTTCTTGTTAATTTGCTATTTCTCTAATTATAAGGATGATCTTCAAATGAAGATTAAGAGATAAAACGGTTCCAATTATGAAATTTGTACATGAAGATACGTTATTTGCAAGTTGAGGAATTAGCTCATCCCCAATGGGGGCATGCAAGTATTATCCCTTTTTATTATTATTATTATTATTGAGGGGAACTACTACATTACTTAGAGGAGGAGGAATTTTGAACTCAAAACGAATGACTAGAAACTCAACACTGTATCTACTAAAATATTCGGTATTGAAAGTCATTATTCTCGTGAGAAAAGAGTTGTGTTACAAAAATAAAAATAAAGAACATGAAAAAGGCGTACAGGGTGGAGAAAAGGTCTGATATCCCTTTTTTTTTTTAACATAGAAATGAAATTACAACGAGTAACTTCGAGAAACATGTCAAATTTTAACCGATACAACATTAAATTAAGAAGGAAAATTACTAAACCTAATACATGAATGATCATATAAATGACGAAAGGAAGCTAATAATATCACCGTTTTATACACTGATGATTGTGTGTGTGTGTGTGTGTGTGTATTCCAGTGATGTATAACAAACACAACCAAGGATTAAGATCTAGTTTGCTAAAAAATCAAGTATCTCAGAGAGAGAGAGAGAGAGAGAGAGAGAGAGAGAGAGAGAGGAACAACTTTATTGACAAGTAGATTGCTTGTCAATGAAATCCTTCACCTCCTTAATAAAAAAAGATGACTCTTTGAGCTCAGGAAACGCGTAAAATCCATGAAATGAATTCGGGTACTCGATCAAGTAAGCTTGTATCCTGTTCTTCATCAACCCCTGGTAGTATATCTTTTGCCAGTCCTTTAACGGATCAAAACCTCCCACGAAAACAATCGTCGCCGGAAACTTCACCCCCAAGACACAGCGTGATTCTGGTCCGAACACGTTCGCCACCGCGTGGTCCCTATCCGACCCCTCCGGCAAAAACGCCTTCCAATACCAGTCAGTCTGCTCCAAAGTAATCGCCAAGCCCTTTTTTGCAAGCCTTGTTTCCGATTCGGTCCTTTCTTTCCCGCCAAAAAATGGCTGTATCGCTATTAGTCCCATCACCCTCATCTGGCAAAACTCATGGTTACTCGCCTTGATTGCCACGTGGTGGGCCAGGTTGCCGCCAGCGCTGTCTCCGGCGAGGAAACACCTGGTGATGTCAACCTTGTTAAGATCAAGGCCTTCAATTCTTGTTGTGTCAATGAATTTGAGGACGTCGAAGCCGTCTTCGTATTGGGAGGGATACCGATGCTCCGGCGCATGGCGGTAGTTGACTGAGGTGACTACTGCGGGGAGTTCGGTGGCGAGGCGTTTGCAGAGGTCGTTGTAGGGTTGTGAGTTGGCAGAAAAGAACACGAATCCACCACCGTGGAAGTAGATAACGAGTGGTAGTTTGGCGGCAACGTCGGTGGTGGTAGGGATGTAGAGGCGGAACCAGAGGTTGCGAGAGGGGTCCACCATTACGTCGGAGGTTTTGACAGGGTCGTTGGGTTTGTTTGAATGCGAAGCTTTAAAGTCGAAGAGGCTGATAAGACGGCGGTTGACAGTGCCGTTGGAGCGGCGAGTGGCGTCGATGACTATGGTGAGGATGGAGAGTAAGAGACGGACCTTGCATGTAAGGTTGGGCGATGTGGGCGGGTTTTGGGCCATCTTGCTCTTTCCGTCGGTGTTTGCATGCATGTTTTCCCGTTGGTTCTAAGCTTTATTTATTTACGGATAACACCAAGCAGATTAAATTTATAGACCAAATTTACAAACTAAATAATGTATCACTGATAAGAAATAATCACGTTAATTAAAATTTAATTAATAATACAATCATCAACTTTCATATAATTTAATTACAAAATTTAGAGCATCTCCAAATGAGATGTCAAATTCAAAACATCTAATTTCAATTTGATGGCTGATTTGACAATTTGACATATTGTCAATATTTTCCTTATATTCGATATGCCAAATTTATTGTTTTGTTTATGTATTTTTTTAAACAAAAATAGGGTTGTTGTTGGTTTCAAAATAATAAAATAGTACTTAAATATGTTAGCATTTAAGGTATAAGACAGGTAGAATGCCTATGGAAATAAGAAAAAATCATATTTGAAGGTAGATTCAAATTTAACATCTATTTATCCATGTCAGCTTAGCCTTCTCTTTCATGTCAACTTTGACATCTCGGTTTGAGTAAATGGTACATCATTTGTTACTGTAATATGTTTATGTGACAGTTTTAACATCTCCTTTGGAGATGGCTTATATATTTAGTCTTCCTAGTTATATCCTTAATTAAAAAAATTGAGAATTAATTAGTAAATTATAATATTTTAGTTTTATCCTTATTCAAAAAATTTGAGAATTAATTAGTAAATTATAATATTTTTAAGTTGAACAGAACAATGATAGCTGTAGTAGAAACAAACGTGGCGGTTGTCTTGTTATATTAGCTGTTTTTGGCCGATGTAATCAAAGGTCTCTTGCGATGAAAACCTCACTTGTACCGTATTCAACCATTCATGACGTTGTGAATAATGTAATTTTCTGCATCTCTTCATATCGGTCAAAATGCAAGAAAAAAAAACACTGATTTTTGGACCCAAAAAAAAAAAAAAAAAAAAACTACTTTTAGTTTTCTTAATACTATAATTTGGTGATATTCTTTTGCATACTATTAAGTGAGAAAACTTAAGTTCGAATCTCATAATCGGCAAGCTCACTCCTACCCTATTAATGTCAAATATATCATTAATAAAAATTTTAAAAAATAAAATAAAAAAAAACTGTTATTTTTTAGAGCACCTTCAACCAAGGTTCTAAAAAACGTTAGGCGCTAGTCGGGCGGGGGACTGGCGCCTAGCGGCTAGGCGGGTTCTAGGCGGGCGCCTAGGCGGGCTAGGCGAATTTAGGTAAATTTTTTATATATCTTGTAAATAAATGTATACTGATACTTACAAAAAATTATACTTATGTGAAATCTCTGAATAAGATAGTAAAAGAATAATAAAATGCGTATCTAACAAGTTCAAAAAATTCATAGCACTTGATGCTATGAACTGGTAACCTGACAATCAATGTTTTTTTAATGAGAAAAAAAATTAATTTTTTGTCAGGCTATTAATTTTTTTGTAGATGGCAGCTAGTCTGCCCTTTGTCCAGGAAGAGATGAGTGCTCCATCGCTATCTACAAAAAATCCATAACACTTGATGACACAAAAATTAATAGCCTGACAGCCTTTTTTCTTTAAGAAAAGTCAAGGCTAGCTGTCCACACTTGAATGGACAAAAAAAAAAGAAAAAAAAGTTTATAAGATCACGTGGGTGGGTGTGGAAAGAAGAGAGAGAAACTAATTCTCAAGTTCGAACACAGAAAAAATTGAAATTCCCAGACCGCCTAGGCCACCCAGTCGCCTGCCTAGGCCGCCGAAGGGTCGCTCAAGCTGCCTCAGTACCCGCCTAATCCTTGTCCTGATTTTTCTTCCGATTTTGCATTAATCCTGACGGTTGGCCACCGCCCAACGCCTAGGCGGCCGCCTAGACCAATTTTTAGAACACTGATCACTAATAGAAAATGAACACGTTAATCAATAATCATATTATTTAATTTACAAATTTGATCCCTCTTGCATTAAAAATAAATAGATCAAAAAATATGTCCAAAGAACCTTGCTTTATATTTTTTTTTTTTGGAAACTAAGAACCTTGCTTCATGTAACCCAAGAGCTGGGCACAAAGTTGCCCTCTGGTGAGCCATGGCTGCTTGCGAGCACCATCATGTGCCACCCACTAGTGTCGATTGCTGAGCTCCAGCATTAAACGTATGGGCATTGTCATTCTTTATTTTTTAAGATGTTGGAGCCATTATTTTAGGTCGTTGTGGTATTTAATGTGGGAATTAAATAAGGAAAGCGAGTGCATCTAACCTATGCCTATCCTATGTCCTACCAATATTCAATCCTAACACCGACTCCAAACCTTTAGTTTTCACTTGTTTTAGAAACTAAAAACTTATTAGGTAACTACTTTCAAATTTTAAAATATTAAAAGTAAAAATTAAATTAGTTTGTAATAATACACTTAATATTTAGTAAACTAATTTCAAAAGCAATATTTGATCATGTCAATTATTAAACAGCGTGAACTAGATAGATGAACATGAAAATTTTGTCGCGTCAAAGAGGGCTCGTTGCTTAGAATTTTAGGCGACGAATATCTGTCCGAAAAAGTTGGTCGCGCAAAAGTCGTGTCTCAAAGCTTTTTTTATTTTTTTTTATTTTTTTAACAAACAATATTATTTATACTAAAAGGAGGAGGATAGGCTTAGCCTCACAATGGGCTAACACTAATGTAGTTTAAATTCGCCTCTGGCGAGAAGCAAACATAAGACATCTCACTTACAAGTGAAGAGGAATATCACTAGACCATAATACTAAATGGCTCAAAGTTTTACACTATTAAAAATAGACATTTGTCAGGCGAACTCAATTGACACAACGAAACAAAGTTGTCATGTAAAGGAGCGTTGATCGACTTTACCCAACGAATTTATCTTGCACAACAGCATAGTTTTGTCACGTTTCTATTTAATACTCAATAAGATTTAGCCTGACGAAACATTCGTCGACCAACCTTTTTATTTTTTATTTTTTAAATGTGCAATATATGTTTCCTTGATGAAACTATTTGTCTGGCAAAGCCTTTAAATTTTTATTTTAATATTCATAATTAAATCAATATTTAATTTGACACATCCCGACCTGAAATGTCCACTTGGACTTCAAATCGAGTTATATTGGTCAACACTTAGAAGGTGACGAAACCATAAAGTGTAGTGATTGGAAAATGTGTATTCATTTAAAGTAAAATTAATGAAAATGACTTGAAAACTTTGAGTTTTAACAATAAGGACAAAATAAAGAGTAAAATGAACAGTACCATGATTGACTTTTTAGTGTAAAAATGTGATTTTTCGTTAAAGTGAACAGTACCGAGAATTTTTCTAAATATAAGAGTATGCTGGTGAGCGGGAATGAACTCATTTTACATGTAATGTCAGAGCATAAGTAAAGTATAGTAAAGGTAATAGAGGAATTATACCATCAGTAGTATTTTCATTACAACAGTTTGCCAGAAATCCTCGTCGACGTGATAGCTCAGCCACTAAAACCTAGAGGGATTAAAAACAAGGGTGAGTGGGCCTAAAAATAACGTTTTATAAAAACCTTTTTGAAAACATTATAACCCCTTGCTGTAAAACAAGTATAATTTCTAAAATATACATACTACGTATAGTGTGAAAATACTTACCGTAGCCTGTAATATCTCAAGAATTCAATATGGCTCAATATTTCATAAGTAAACACATGACTTTGTAATCAACATAATCTCGCATAAGCAAACATCTCATATCAAGTGCTCATCAACACATGCTTACACAAGAGTTCATGCAGAAGTATTCTGACATGAACAAGACTAGTTGTAACAATGATATACGCTTTGGTACTACAATCACGTGAAGACTGGTGCTATGAGCAACACATATGAGTCCTAATTGCCTATAGCAATCTAGGACAAGACTAGAATCTACAATGGATCCAAAGTGAGCGTATGGTGCGAAGTGCACGTACATGTGAAAGACTGGCCCTGGCTTGAGCGAGCACTAACACCGGTGCAGCAAATGATGAGCAGATAACACAAATATAATCATGCCAGAATGATTCGATAATTCTAGTCAACATAACATTATTCATAGTCGTAAGTTTAGCTAAGGCATCCCGTAGGGTTTATAATGATTTCCTAATTCTTATCATTAGGTCATTTTCTATAAATGTTAATTCAATTACGGCAGTCACATAAAAATTCATTTTTAGAATTATATATGGAAACTTAACATATATATATATATATGTATGTATGTATATATCAAATAAAAGACCCACTCATAGATACTTACGAAGTCATAGTCGTTCGGACAGGAGAAACTGGAGTCTCCAATAGTAATCGCACCTAAGCATAATATTGGGACCCATTAGTAAAACTCCACTAAGACAATTACATTTGGGAAAATGGAGTGCGGATTTGGAATCAGGGCATCGAAATATGCTAAGGAGGGTCCCCAACAAATTTTGTAAAAAGTCAACAATCAACCCTAAAAAGTCACCTAAGACGCCGAGTCAATCAATTCCGTTAAAGACTTTGGAATTTCATTAAATTGATGTCAAAAAACAGACTCGGGACGTTAAAATTAGCCTATGAGGGTTTCCGAGAAAATTTCGAAAAAGTCACACAAGGAATGTTCCAAATATTCTTGAATATTCCAGAATATATTTGGAATTAGGCTGGGCCGAAGCCGGACCAAGTTGGAGGGTCATGGATTGGGTCGGTTCTAGGTTTAAGTTTTGGGCCTCTTTTTTTCCTTTTCTTTTTTTTTTCTTCTCTTCTTCTTTTCCGACTGGTTGCCACTGCAACCGCCGAGATAGTCCCAGCTATGACTACCTAAAACCTTCATAAACCTAGCCTTCCAATATATCAAATCGAAGCTCAGAGGACAAGGAATCGGAATATACCTTTGGTTTCCCCGGCCATGGCCAGAGTTGGTTGGAAAACAGCTCAAAAGTCGTCGGATCTTTGTCGAAAAACTGGGTTTAATATTCTCAAGTTATTTCTACGTCCAAACAACATTAAAATGTCTCAAAAACATCACAATCTTAGTCCTAGG